TTATTATCTAAATTAAATAAAAATATTATATTAGAATTCTTTATATAATTGTTATTAAATTAATATTTTATAAAATATGAATTACAAAATTAATAAATAAATAACAATATTTTAATTTTCATTAGAGTATTTATTATTTGAATGCAACCTGAATAAATTGTTGATTAAGAGATCTCTCATAGAGTATTCGAAAATTCATCATAATATCTCTTTTAAGAAAAAAATGTGATTTAATAAACTCCATCAGGGAATAATTTATTTATTGAAATTTCAGACAATAAACAAACAAAAATTGATTTAATTAAAGTTATTGAACCTGATCATAAGCAGGAAATAATGTTAAGATAAACTAAATAAAATTAGAATCGATCAACACCACCATCAATTCATGTATTCGAACCTCAACTTACATTATAAAATTAAAGTGCTAATTAACTTATTGATTCAACAGGTAAAACTTATCTTCAGCAGAGATTATATCAATAAGCAGTCTATAATGGAGAGTTTCATAGTTCAGATAGATCTTAAACTAATTTTTAGTAAGCTATATCAAGATTATAGGAATAACTTACTCAATTAATACAAATCTAACTAATTTTACAAAAGAGATATCTAATGGGTTTATTTCTTGATTCTGATAAGTGTTTTCTAAACTATCTTATACTTTATATATATTTTGAATAATTAAGGATATTAATATTTGGGAAGATGGAATAAAGGGATTGATTTAGATGGTAAGATATTTTGATTCTAAATTAGGCATATTTTGTGGTTATGACAAAGCAGAAAAGTATCCCTTTATATATTTAAATAATCCAATCAAAGAATATTTATATTAAAGAGTTTGTGTATCACAATGTCCAGATGATGATCAGAAATAAGTGGATTGTTTAACTAATCATTTAATTAAATCATGTAATTCCTAGATAAGTATATCAAATCCAAATTAAGATTTCATTATATATTCGACATTTAGATGTAGATATATATATATATAAATATAATTTAGATTAATACAGTATTTGTATTCCAAAGACTATGAATTATTTTTATTAAACATAAGAAGTCTATGATTTTGAGTTGGTATAATCATGTATATCTGATTTATGGGTAATGAGATATCCAATATTTGCAACATATTTTGTAATAATATTTCTAAAAATAATATTGGATAAATTAATAAAAATAAGAATGCAAAAAATATATATTTCATGTATTTTACTCATTTTATTGATTGGAATTGGGGGAGTCTATTTTTTTCATTAATTTATCAAATTAATAAATATAGATTCTTTTGATAAGTATATTTATTATTTATTTCTTCATAGTTAAATAGCTACAATGAAAATTGATTATGCCTTTGTTTTAGAGCATACATCAAAACCAAATCCAACTTTAGCCTTATTAATGTCAATAATTCTTGTAATGGTTTTTTACATTATGGCTTATTTATTTTATAAGTTGAATAATCAAATTAAATTATTGTTTATTGGATTGAAATTAATGAGGAAATTTCAAAAATCATAGAAAATGCTTTCAATTTTAATTTTTACAAATTTAATAAAATTTATGATCTTCATAATATACTTTTATACATTGATGGCTACATTATCTCCACCAAATATTTAAACCAATAATTTAATATTTAATAATGGTTTATCATTTACATAATATTGTTTAGGTGTATATTTAATTATTTCAATAAGATTTTGTTATTTTTTTATAGATAATTTATTGAATTTCTTTACAAGTTCTTTATTTTTGGAATGGTATGGATTAGCATTAATTTAATAGAATGAATTAGATTAAACCCAAAATTTTAAAATTCCTTAAAAGAAAACTTTAATTTATAATTTGGGTAGTGTAATAGCATAAAGTTCAATTATATTCTTTACAGATTATATTGTTAATGTTTGGAATCTTTTTAGTATGATAAGCAAGAAATTAAGATTAAAATTATTTTTATAAGATTATAATCATTATTCATCATTGAATTAATTTTCAACTATTGTAATTAATTTATATTTATTAATTAGCTTTCATTAAAGAATTGTACTTTTCAAAATGCAATAGAAATAGTTGAATAATTAAATGGAATGATATTGCCTATTCATCAAAAGAAGATGATTTAAATGTCTAAAGTATATGGATAACTAAATCAATATTTTGTAAGTTTACTTGCTACTATGATAATTTATATTATTTAGAGATTACTATATTCTGATTAGTTATTTTCAATATATCCAGGATTAGCTATGGGATTTTTGATTGGTTTATTTGTATCTCAAACTCATTATGTTGAAATGTAATCAGGGATTTAGAGTTTATTTCACATCTATTTTCTAGATTAAGAGTAATCATTATTATTGGGAATCTTGACATTCTTTAGAAGGAAAGATAAAAAGAAAATGATTTCACATATTGAATAATAAATTAAGGATTTCAAATAATAGATTGAAAAATGAATAGTATATTTATTACTTATATATTTGATAATTCAACAATCTCTTTGAATGACTTCTTGTATAAGACTTTATAAATTTTAAAAAATATATCAAAGATTTTATTTTAATTTATGGGCAAAAAGGAAAAGGGAAAGCAAAATCCATTAGGTGAAGTGAGCAGAGATTATACTATTAATCTTCATAAAGCTGTTCATAAAGAAACATTCAAGAGAAAGGCTCCTCGTGCTGTTAGTCATATTATTAGATTTGGTAGCTTAGTGAAAATTAATAAAATAGCATAAAAAAATATGTTGACAGAAGATGTTAGAGTTGATCCATAATTGAATGAAGCAGTTTGGAAGACAGGTATCCGTAATTTGCCAAGAAGAATTAGAGTCAGGTATAAACATTTGATTTATCATATGCAGACTTTAAAGAAAGAAGAAGGAAGAAGATGATGGAAAAGGAAAATACTATACTCTTGCATAGTATGTTCCAGTTGATACATTCGCAAACCTTAAAACAGAAATCACAAAAGTTTAATGATTTACATAATTGTACAATATAAAATATATATAAGTATAGTATTTCTTTTATTATATACAATTTAATAAAAAATCTGTAATCACTACATTATAATTCATGTTGTATAAATAAATTAATCAAAAACAGACTCTTATATTTTTCATTAAATTAAAAATATAAGAGTTTTTATACATATTATTATATTAAATATATTATAAAAATATAATAAATAGAAATAGAAAATAATAACAAATCATACATTAAATTTATTATTGTTCATTATTCAAAAGAATAAAGTAAAGTGTATTTTATTTTGAATTATAAAAACTAAAAAAGGTAAATATTATTTATTATGAAAACAAGTTTTCTTTATGATAGTCAATAATAAATGTATCAATTTCATTTTTTTATTCTTAAATTAGTTACATTTTTTCTAAACTATAAGTAAAAATCCATATATAATAACTATTAACTAATTATATGTATCTACTTAAAGAATCACAAATTATTTGAATATAACTCTTAACTAAATGTCAGTAACTGAAGAAGAATTAAGAAAGCATAGCTGAATAAAAATTAAATGTTTTTATATCCATAATAGAGTAGATTAATTAATAAAAAATTGATCAAACTTTTATTAGATCTTATATCATAGTTTGTTTCAATTTAAATTGAATCTTCAGATTGATAAAGCTTAGAAATTATGTATGATATTTTTACAAAGAATTTAAAGTAATTAGATTAACTCATGAAAATGAATAATCAAATTACTCTATTGAAACAATAAAGGACTTAATTGATATGATTAAAATTTACTAAATCAATAATATTTTACATTTATATGATTTTTTAATAATTAATATGTTCAGAAATCTAAGATAATAGTACTAAAAAGATCTTGATTACCATTTTTTGAAACAATTTAATAAATCCTCTATGAATTTAAGATACAACAATCAGAAATCTCCTTTTGCAATAAAAAAATAGTTATCAAAAGTTAATATAGCATTGTAATCTCAATTAAATAAGTTAATTGAATATAACGAAAAGATATCGAAATTCTAAAAGTATTCATAAAGTTATATATAGAATAAAATATTATGTTAGATCTAGAAGTTCCTAAAATTCTTAAGAAGGTCATCTAAATAAAAGAATTTCACATATTCTTTTATCTTTACCTTTTCATTCCATTAAAATGCATTAAAAAGTAGGGATAAGATAATTATGGAGAAAATATATATTTATCATAATTTTTTTATTGAGATACTAAAAACAACGATAAGAAAAATTAAAATTAAATCTATAGAATAGACATATTTAATTAGGAACTCCTAAGATTCATCTTGATGCAACAAAAAAAAGAAGAAGAAATGCTGATAGTTAATTTAAATTATCTACATTTGCAGAATATATTGATGCTTAAGATAAATAAGAATCTAAAACAAAAAGATCAGAAGATGAAAAATTTAAGAAAAGTCCAGTTTATTAATCATTTAAATATAATGATGTTAGGATCTGCAGATTATTGAGATTTCGTAATAATAGTGTTCTTACATCAAATGCAGAATCCCCATTAAAAATTAATTAATAAGTTATCAAAAATAATAAATTACCTCCTTTATTATAAATAGACAGAAGGATGTAAAGAGTGTATTCAAATTTAGGTAAATGATCCTATAAAATTTGTATATTTTTTATATAAATCTTTCAATAGAATAAGAGTAATTAAATAGAAACTATAATATTTTAATTTTTGATTATCGCAAAAAATAATCTATTATTTAAATGATGAGTCATCAATATATGATTATAACTAATATAAAAATAGTTCTAAAACATTTCTATTATAAGTTTAGTTTTTAAAGTTGATTATATATATAATTCTCAGAATCTTTAAATTCTTGATTGTGATTATACTAGAAATATTAAGAATATAAATGCATTCATTTGACCAAAATTGTAGTCTAAACAACTTTAATTTTTTAAAAAGAAGAGTATTTCTATATTTATGTATTTAATTATAATTCATCTTCACTATGAAAGAACTTCTTTTAATATCTTAGAAATATTATTCTTTTATTCAGATTCTTCAGCCATACTCTCAAAGTTCATACCATCTTTACCAGTTTGCATTCTCAAGATCATTCTCTCTGGTTTTTATGGTTTTTATGGTTTTTATGGTTATGGTTGATCATTGTTTTAATTTCTTTGATCATTTGTGTTGTTTTATTGTCCATTTTTATTATCTTTAGAATCATTTTATTGAATCAATTTGTCCATGATGATTTAAAAAATTATATTAAAAATAATGATTTTAACTTATTTTGCTACTGCTTTTGAATCACAGTTTAATAACAATAATTCCATTTAAATTTCATAATTTTTATATATAACATAATAAAAACAACTTTTTCTATTATAAAAATAATATAAATAGTATTATTCATACAAAATTTAGTTTATATATATATATAAAAGATGTAAAATATTTATAAACTTATATTATTTTGAAATAAATTTAATATTCATATATGATTCTTTATGATAACAATTTAAGAAAATCTCTTATTAATAAGGTTGTGGATTAACTTCATAATGCATAAATAGAGGCTGAAAAGGTACATTTAATGAAAGAACTATTTAGTTAGCAGAAATGAAAATAGATTTCAATTAATTAAATAAGAGATTAATAGAATTTTCATAAGAAGTAATTGAATTATGGAGAAAGGGATATTCTCAACGAGAGTATTCATTATATAAGGAGCGATTACAATAATTGATAGGAATGCATAAAAATTCATTATCAAAAATAAGTGATTAATCAAGATCAAAAAATACAATTAAGAAATTAAGTAAATAGTCTAGTGAAAATGAATGTAGTATTTAAACTAAAGTTAAATTTCAACATGATTAGGCTTTAATTCCTTAATAAATATAAATATTAAAAGAGGATGATTTTTCAGATATTTCATTTGCCTCTTTGACAAGTAGTAATTCTGAAACAATATAAGAAATTATTGAACATTCAGAAAAAAATAATTAAGGTTTTTGTTAAGTTCATAATTGTAGAGAATTAAAAATCATTCGTGAAATATATAGATAAAAAATAGATATAAATGAATTATAGTTAGCATTAGAAGAGATTATTTCATTAAAATCATAAATTAGAATGAAATTATAGAAAGAGAATTAAAAGATTTAAGTTATGCATGAAAGACTTATTGAAGGATAAAATAAACTAAAAAGAATGGAAGAATTTGAAAAAGAATAATTAGAAATGATTAAATAAAAAAGAATGTCATTAAATCTAGAATGATATATTTGTATTTTGTTATAGTTTACTTTTTTTTTTATATTATTATTTATAAATTCAAATGGGTAAATATAAAAGTAGAAGTAGATCAAGATCACATAAAAAAAAGAAACATAAAAATGAAAAATAAAAAACAAAAGATATTCAAAATGAATCTAAAGATTGGAGAAAAGATAAAATTTATATAGGATAAAAATCTGTATAAGCAGGATTAGATGTTTTAGAAATTATTAAAAAAGAAAGAAAAGAAGATGAAGAAAAATTAGAACAATGGAAAAAGAAAGTTGGATATACTGGATTAAAAGTCAAAGCACCTTTAAATATTTATGAAGAGGTATAAAAATTCAATTAATAAATCTTAGATTATGAAAAAAAATATTGTAACTCCTGTTAAACCAGTAAATACTTCTTTAATCAATAATCCTTAAGCACCTAGAATGATTGAAATTTTAGTCAATGATAGATTAGGTAAAAATGAAAGAATCAAATGTTGTCCATAAGATAAGATTGGAGATCTTAAAAAATTGATTGCTGCTAAGATTGGTGTTAGACCTGAAAAAATCAGATTGCAAAAATAACATAGTGTTTTTAAGGATCATATAACTTTAGAGGATTATGAAATAAAACATGAAATGTGCTTGGAAATGTATTATAATTGAATTTTGTTTTCATTCAATTTATATCTCTTAATAGATAATTAAGTTCTTCAACTGATTGATCTTACTTATTCAATAGAGGATGAGAACTGGATCTTTATAGGATACCTTTTTCATTAACAATCAATTCTTCAATGGTTTTATTTCTAAAAATAATATTATAAAAATATAAACACTCTTTCAGCATAACAAATTGAACCATGTATTGTTGACATTTATGGTAATCCTTAATTTTTTTATTCTAATGAATCTGAAAGAATTTAAATAGTTTAAGGATTACTAATTAGTTTTCTTTATTGTTATTATTATAAACTTTTGCTTTTTTACTTTAATTTAATGTCTTCTTATTTAATCATTAAATAAAACGAGTAGCTTATAATTAAAACTAGAATGAGTCCAACTAATTCTTGATTAAGTAGGATAACTTAACAATATTCATAAATCTCTTAAAGTTGGTTAACAAATGCTTATTTTGCTAGTTCCCAATCAGTGATCTAATCGATTAATATAATATCATTCTATTTTTAAGTAATTTTGTTCTAATAATATATCAAATTGTTAACATCAATTAAGTTTTCATTTGAATTTGATTCATCAATCTACATAAATTTCTTAGGAATGGCTGTTACGATTCCAAGAATGCTAATGAATAAAAAGAGTTAATTCATATAAGAAATAAATGTTATTTCATATTTTTAATAAACAAATATATAAATATCATAATAACAATCCAAAATTCTTTTGAAAATTATCTACAATAAAACTTTATCATAAGATAATATACCCATATAATCAAAAGTAATTATACTTATAATATATTTCAAATTTATTAAACCAATCATAAATATATGTTAAATTTATTTGATCTTAATAAAGACATACATAAAATTTATCATTTGTATTGATATTAATAATTTTAAAGAGTTACTATTTTTTCAATTTGAAAATATATGAAAAAAATATTTATATTTTATTCATATAAAAAATAAATAATAAGTTTTATTGAAGATTGGATATATATATATATAATCCATTTTAAGTTTTGAATTTACTAAATTAAATGTACATGTTTTTATAATATGTGTTTTCAATATCCTAACTTCTCCAATTCCTAATTGATTGTAGTAAGTTCTTTAGCTCCGATGGCTTTTCTTCTAAGATTTTCTCTGGCAATCTTTCTCTTATAATAGGCAGCACCTCTAATGGAAGTGTTAAAATGGACGATACCTTTGCTTTCTCTTTTCTTCAAGTCTGTTAACAACAGATTATGAATTCCATCCAACTGATGCACATAAGTCACCTAAAGTGCAAAATGGTCTATGATTCTTAAGTCTAATCAATTTAAGAGCATCTGGAATGACTTATCTCTTTCTTGAATCATATGGAGGTGGTACTCCTTCAAATAATTTTAATCTTTCTAAAGCAGCTGCTCCTCTCTTTGATTTATATTGAAGCATGCCTCTAACAACTTTCCAAAAACATCTTGAAGGTGTTCTATAATGTTTATATCCTCTTCTTGGATTGAATGCCATTCTTTTATTAAGGTATTCTTCAAAGATAACTCTGTTTCTGAAAAGAGAACCTAGAATATTGTGAGATGGATACCAGATTGTTAAATCAATTCAGTTCTAACGACAACGATTCTTTAACCTCTTTACAACTCTTTAGCAATGTAAGAAGCTAGACGACCTTGCAAATGTCCTTTGCCATCGATTACAATTTCTTTTTCGAACATTAAATTTTAAATAAATTTTCAAATCATTTCATCCATACATTACTTTATTAGCTAAGTACACCAATCATAATGTGGTTTGATCATTTTCTCTTGGTCATAATGTGGATTGTCCATCATCAAATACAGGATTCTAATATTATCAATCATTCCATTAATCAAATCAATTAAATAAAGTACATCTTAAGTATTATTAACTATTAGAATAGATTTCTAATTGTCAACTACATAACAAATTTTAGGTAACTTAAGTAATAATTATTCTACAGGTAGACGTTTCAATTTATATGAATTATCTAATTATTCAAATCTTATTTCTTTAGCTAATTTCTATTTTGATTTAATAATAAAAAAAATACTTTAGTTTAAATTTATTAACAATATGGAATCAAGAATGCTAAATCTTAAGCACTTAATTAATTATTAATTTTAATTTTATTCCACCATTCATATGCCATAAAATTTTTATGTGCTCTTTTCAAAGTTTCCAAAAGACTACCTTCAAATGTTTATAAGAATTATTAAATATTTGGACTATTAATTAATAGATTAGCAACCAAAGATAATTATTTTGATCCTTATTATTATTCATCTAATTCTAATTCAATAATATTTGTAAAATCAAGTAATTCATTAGATCCTAATAAATTTAAATATAGAGAAACTTAAAGTTATTCTGATTTCTATATTATATGTTAATTATCATAAACATAAAATCCATGTAATTTATTCAAATAATATATTTTACTATTTGATAATATAAATTTAATAAATCCATCTATCTTAATCCAATCTAATACAAAACCAACTGATATTCTATATAAAAATCTATCTATTTTTGGATATTAATGATTAAATTTCTAATAAATCTTTGAATATCCATTTATAAGCATATATAAATCTATTTATAATTCATTCTTCTTCCATTCCTATTCTATTAATTCTGAATGAAACTTTTCTAATTTTTAACATGTAAAATTCTCTGTACCCTTTTCTTCTTATGGTAATTCTTCTCCAGGTAAACAATATGTCTTTTCAAATATAAATGGAAACTTAAATGATAATAGAGCAACCATCTTTATTATTGATGGATTATCTTTCTTTCTTAAGTAATTTACTCTTCTAATAAAATCTGAACTTTAAACATTAAAATTCATATGTTTTAACATATTTTCATTATAATATTGATGTAAATCAACTTAAGACATAAGACTCTTTGCATCTTCTTCATTTAATAATTAATTATTCTTTTTTAATTCATCATCTATAATTTAATCATCCATATCATCCATTTTAATATCATCTCCTAAAATTATTTCATAATTTGATTATTTCAATACTTTCTTATAACCTTAATTAATTAAATATAAATATTCTTTCTCTAAATCTAAACTTCCTTTCAATTCTGATTTCTCCTTCATTCTAAATATATATAATGGATTTGATTATAAACGACTTTTACTTTAATTTAATATCTTTTCTAAAATTGGTTTAGATTATGCAATTTATACATCTCCTGATACTTTCATCTTTTTAACATATTTAATCAATTATGTTTATATATAATTTTTATAAAAATCCTTTATTAATTCTAAAAATGCTTTACCTTCCCTTTATAAAAAATCACCTTATTAATTTTAATCAATATTCAATTTCTTAGGTTTAA